CACGCACATAATCACACACGCACATAATCACACACGCACATAATACACACACACACACACACGCGCGCACACGCGTATAACGCGTATACGCGCATAACGCTCGCTGAATGCGTAAGCAACGTAAGGCGTGGACTATGTCGATATTTTTTATCGATAAACAAATCACCATAGTCCGCGCAAGTTTTTATTTGATTATAAGTAATACATTGATAAATAATACCAAGGTGTTATTTGAAATTCTTTTTTTAAAGTATTTAAAAATGATCTTCGGAAAAAAAACTTATAAATTATTGAAAGAAACTTTATTATTTTGCTACAGGTTTATTTTACATTATGCAGGATAAAATTTAAAATATTTAACAAACCAAAATAGGAGGTTTAGTTAACTTATTTTAAAAATCAGATTTAAGAAAAGAAAAATCCTATCAGTTTATCATCTTAGATGGTGTTAAGCAAGTTTTTGTTTTTATTATAAGGCTTCAATCACAAAACCGCTATTTATAAAAAGTTGTTGATTTTGAAGAGTTATTGAATGAACTATCTGGAAAATATTTAATAAATTAGGAAAATAATAAAGTTTTACACTGTATAACAGTTGAACAAAGTGAACTTTAAACAGACAGCTGCTTAAAAATAAAATGTGACATCTACCTAGGGCTAAGTATTCCCCAGAAAGATGTTTTGCTAAACTAATGTACAATTGACGGCCGACGACTTGGCTACACAAAAAAAAGCGTTAACTGTTTTAAAACTTATACTAGAGAGTAACCCTGACAAGAAATTGTATTGTATATTAGTGATAGGTGAAACGAAAATGAAATAATTGACGGAGTAATATGCCAGTTATAAAAGACATTTTGGTTATATACATAATGCCTTTGGCTGCTAGCATGGTATTCCGTCAATTGCCTAATTTTCATTTCATCCATGACCAAGGTACAATAAATTTTTTTATCAGGGTTACTCTCCGCTCTCAATTTTAATGCCATCAGCGTTTCTTGAGTAAACCCTGATAGGCGATCGATGGTAGTGTATCACTAAGTCAATGTCCGTGGTGCAGGAAAACATGTTCCAAAACTTTTACGTACATAAAGATAGGCTTAAAATATATATATATATATATATATATATATATATATATATATATATATATATATATATATATAATTGAACCTTCTGACTTACGTAAGTAAATTGGTAAATTATTTATTTTAGCGTGATCGTGGTGATTGCACAACATCAGCAACATAGAAAAAAGAAAGCTGGATGTTCCGGAAAAATTGTTGTCTCGAAAGTCACAATTCAAAAAAAAATCTTTATGTAGCCCAAACTAGTCCTACTCTCACTTTGAATACGAGCCAACACTTAGGAAAATTAAACTGAAAAAATGCCTTGACATAAAAAACAATAGCATAAACAGGCTTCACAAGTTTGTAAGAAATACTTTGCCCTAACACTTAACTATTACTCACCAAAAGCCTATCTTTATGTACGTAAAAGTTTTGGAACATGTTTTCCTGCACCACGGACATTGACTTAGTGATACACTACCATCGATCGCCTATCAGGGTTTACTCAAGAAACGCTGATGGCATTAAAATTGAGAGCGGAGAATAACGCCGATAAAAAAATTATAGTACCTTGGTCATGGATGAAATGAAAATTAGGCAATTGACGGAATACCATGCTAGCAGCCAAAGGCATTATGTATATAACCAAAATGTCTTTTATAACTGGCATATTACTCCGTCAATTATTTCATTTTCGTTTCATCTATCACTAATATACAATACAATTTCTTGTCAGGGTTACTCTCTAGTATAAGTTTTAAAACAGTTAACGCTTTTTTTTTGTGTAGCCAAGTCGTCGGCCGTCAATTGTACATTAGTTTAGCAAAACATCTTTCTGGGGAATACTTAGCCCTAGGTAGATGTCACATTTTATTTTTAAGCAGCTGTCTGTTTAAAGTTCACCTTTGTTCAACTATTATACAGTGTAAAACTTTATTATTTTCCTAATTTATTAAATATTTTCCAGATAGTTCATTCAATAACTCTTCAAAATCAACAACTTTTTATAAATATCGGTTTTGTGATTGAAGCCTTATAATAAAAACAAAAACTTGCTTAACACCATCTAAGATGATAAACTGATAGGATTTTTTCTTTTCTTAAATCTGATTTTAAAATAAGTTAACTAAACCTCCTATTTTGGTTTGTTAAATATTTTAAATTTTATCCTGCATAATGTAAAATAAACCTGTAGCAAAATAATAAAGTTTCTTTCAATAATTTATAAGTTTTTTTTTCCGAAGATCATTTTTAAATACTATAAAAAAGAATTTCAAATAACACCTTGGTATTATTTATCAATGTATTACTTATAATCAAATAAAAACTTGTGCGGACTATGGTGATTTGTTTATCGATAAAAAATATCGACATAGTCCACGCCTTACGTTGCTTACGCATTCAGCCAGCGTTATGCGCGTATACGCGTTATACGCGTGTGCGCGCGTGTGTGTGTGTGTGTGTGATTATGTGCGTGTGTGATTATGTGCGTGTGTGTATGTCTGCAAGTTTATGAATGTGTCACATTACGTACTGATTTGTTTAGTCAGTGTGTGTTATTCAAAACAGGTTCATCTCTTTCTGACCAAAATGTCTTCCACATCATACGTGGTGATAACGCAAATATTCGTGTAATCGCGATGTGCGAGACAATCGTTTTTGGGCCCACTAGAAAATTTAATGTAACTTAATAGTAGACATAAAAAAGATACAAAAATATTACATACATATCTACATCCATCCATTACAGCCTATAAACGCTTGCATTACATCCTATATATCCTTTTAGGTTCTCTAACCTCCATGGTGTCAACTGTCAAAATGGCGTCGATAAAGCAGCGCTCTTTTGATTTTGACCTTTTATTATTTGATTGACGGATGAAGAGCTATCGTATCACAAAGCCATCTATGCAAACAAGACTGCAGTTATTGACTTAATAGAAAGTGACCATACTCGTATTAACTGGATGACCATAATATTACCCTCACATACCATATTACATTAGCTAGAACACGAATATCGAAACATTTTTTTTGTCAGATTTCATGATTGTGGTTAGAGTTTAGTAAAATATTTCCATAGCTGAACATTGGCCTCCCCCATTGATTGCCTTACAGGGATATTGCCTTACATACTTACAGACAACACTTGATTTTGCCATAATTGCGACGTTTGGCATGCTGGGTGTCAACCGCAGTTATTTATTATTATGATCATGAAGACGCTGGTGCCCATCTCCCGCTTCAGTTTCCCTCTGCCGCCTCCTACGATACGGGGTAGAGGATATTCTTACACCCTCACTACACAGTTGTATACATATATAAATTATTTAATTACAAGAAAACGTCACGTTTTTGTTTCTTAATACCGTATGTTCAATTTCTCCACTACGTCGATAAAGAAGTTTCACTTCGAGAGGGTTGAAAAAAAAAACACTGTTCCAACAAATATAATTTTAATAAAGCCATCAATAAATACAAAATATTAAAAACTGTGGATTTTTAAGCTATTGCATAGCTTCTATCGCGGGCCTTGAGCGCGGGGACCGAATCCAGAAATTCCGTAACGAAAAAAACCTCACGCTCCCCACTCCGACGGGCACGGAGGTGTGGCGTTGAAAGCCGTGCATCGTCTAACGTCGTTTCAGTTCGGCAGACTTCGGCACGGTGTTTGTGTGCATGCGACTAGACGTATGCATGTACACTAGCTGCTAACTCAATGATAAAAATTCCTGAATAACCTACATGTATTGTAAGATATTAAAAATATTTCAAACAATATTAACTTCTCATTTATTCAATAATAGAAAAAAAATGTTTTCTCATCGGTCACCACGCTCAAAAAGTGTAACTTGATTTAATATGAAAGACTTAACTGCATAAATAAAATAAATAAATAATTATAATTGCATAAGTTGATAAAAAAATGCTATGCAATAGCTTTACCGCGGCAGTCACCGAGTGTCACACGTATTTTTTTTTTACAAAATAAAACACAATTCTTTACATTAAAGGTTCTGTTTTGGTAAAAACATTTTGTAGATCGTAGTCATTATACGAGTTTTGGTCCCAGGAAATACATTTATACATAGAATACTATAATACATATATAATAGAACTGGACAGTGGACGGAGCCCGCGTAGCCACTAAAATGTCACTAACACGTCAATTCACACGTATAAATGTCAACACGAGATGTGTTTTGACAGATGTGTTTTGACGTTACAATCGTTTCCAAATTTCACATTCAAACAAACACAAACAATTTAGGAAATGCCAAATTACACCCTATTTATAAATAAATGTGTATTAAAATTTAATGATGATCTTGAACATTAATCAAAAGTCTAAAATGTGTAAATTTACTCAGTCTGTCAATACAGTGAATCGGGTTTGGCGACGCTAATCCTCGTATAAAATAAAGCTGACAACCATTCTATTGTGTATTATAGTATTCTATGCATTTATATAATATATTATATAAATAATACACTTTGCTTGTATACAAAGGTGACACAAGCACACAGTCCACCTGATGGTAAGTGCTGTGCCCATACTCACCTACACCTATCCTCGATTAAGAGTCAAATTTCTGATGTACTGACAAACCGTCCCTCAAGATAAACACATAGTTGCTGGCAGCATATGCTGCTTTAGGTTTTTAGTAGATATCGAATCATCACCATTATCGTCATCACCATTAAAGTCTATTAAAAGTAAGTAAGCATTGCTTATTTACTATAAATAGGTGTTTACTAAGAAGGTTAGCAAACGCAGTCTTATTGCACTGAGTTCTTATCAAGAAGAAACAGCTTCACATCTGTTACAACCTCGCTCTATCGCCTTTAACGACACTCACGGGATGATATGGAGAAGTGAATTCAGTTACACCAAGACTAATCTGCATATACAGCACGGTAGACAATTTGCTATATTGCAACTCCGTTCTTCCCGACCAAAGAGTCTGTAGGTTCCCCAATTTGTCTGTTGGTCTTCTGCCTACCCGGTCTTTGAGGGGGGACGATGACGTTGTGTTGCCTCTGGAGATGTTTCTTCCAGTAACAGCGCCGGGTGAAACAGGCGTGGCACACGTCGCATTCGAACCTGGGACATTCCGAAAACATAAGGATATGATGGTCCATTTAAATACACAATGAAGGCGCAAGATCCGCGAGAGCTCGTAGGACCTGGGTTCTTTTTTTATAGAATAAGAGTAACAAACGAGCACATAGTCCACCTGATGGTAAGTGGTTCCTGTGACCCATAGACATCTACATCTATCCTCGATTACGACTCAAAATGCAGATGCGTTGTCACCATTAAGGTTTGAGATGGAATGCCTCGTTTCCAGTAAAAAGAGTCTAAGGTTCTCTACACTCATCGTACGAAACACAGCAGCATTAAGCTACTATTTGACGCTGGTATTCTGTGAGAGCGTGGTCCTTCCCCAGTCGAGCCGACCCATTCTTGTTACAACTATGCTCGTACTACTAATATAACTGCAGCATGGCTCTACAACGTAAATAGGATTAGATTTAATGTAAAATATACCTTTACATTGCGAACGTTTCTTGCGAACAACTTCTTTATAACGAATTACAACTATCAAGAAAGTGCAAATACCTTTAATTAACAAATTTTGTTAACCCAAAACCTTTACAATAAAGTTTATTAGTAGAAGTTGTGAATAAAACTATCTTTTTACCTCTTTATAATAAATTTTAGACCAACCTAACCTCAACATAACAAACCTCAGTTCAACGAATTACTTGATATAACCAATATGTACTTGTTCCCTTCCGATTTATTAATCGTGGTTGCACTGTATTATCATTAATAGGTATATCTAGATAATTAGGTACCTCGTTACTGGGTCCATAGTTACAGATTTATTATTTGACTAGCGACAAATGTACCACCACAGCTTCGAAGTTAATGATTTTTTCGCGTATAATGACAATGACTTTTTTTGAGCCCGAAGCAAATATAGGGCAACCCTCCGGAAAGCGGGGGGAGGGAGGTGGGGAATGCTCATAGCATACCACGCAGCCGGCTGCGTGGTTATGTGGAGACTTTTACCCACTAAACCTCACCTTTTAGGGACTGGCTTAACGGTCTAACTAGAGATCTCTAAGCCGTATACGAACGCGATCCTCCTTGGCAGAAAGGAGGACCAAGCGGCGAAAAGCCGCTTAGACGAGTACCTAACTAAGGCAGATTAATGGATGTGTTATGGAGGCTCGGCCTAAGCCGCCAGGAGGCAGTTCAGGTCAGCCGAAAGCTTGTTGGGGGTCAATGACCTTCAAAAATCTACAATTAAGTAGACCTCCCAGTGCTAGTTACTGTCGACTAATGCTAGATCAGCAAATACTGGTTACTGATTAAACATTTGGTCAATAAAAAATTGTCACTCTTTTATGATTAAGTTTAGAACCAATGCTGGCAAAAGAGCGCCATTGTATCGCTTAAAGCAAAATTATAATGATCACTTTTTTGACATAGATATTTTTAATAACCGTGCTAACTCCTTTAGAAACAAAGTGATTAATAAGCTTATGAGTCTTATTAACTAAAAACTAAATAAAATAAATCAAAATATATCAAAACATAATTGAAATTATATAATTGTTTGAAATCATAACTAAAATGTAAACAGTTTTTTTTTTGTTTAGTTGTTTGTACTAGTAAAGTAAAAGTAAAGTAACAGCCTATATACGTCCCACTGCTGGGCACAGGCCTCCTCTCATTTCTGAGAGGGTTTTAGGGCAAGGAATAGTCCGCCACGCTGCCCCAATGCGTGTTGGCGAACTTTACATGTCTTCGAAATATTTTTTTCTTATTTCTCAAACATGCAGGTTTCCTCACGATGTTTTCCTTCACCGCCGAGCACGTGGTAAATCAGCACTTAAAATTGCAATTAACAATTTCATTGGTGCCGGCGGGGATCGAACCCGGTTTGCTCGCGTACTGTGAAATTTACAGCGAGCGCTAAACATCTGAGCTACCACGGCTCTTGGTAGAGTTTGTACTAGATTGTAGTGTTTTTAAATAGTTCAATATCTATCTAATAATTCCACTATGTCATTCTGTAATATTGAATATTATGTAGTAAGTCCTCCTTCACATCTCTCACTTTTGTAATTTATCCTATAAATTATTATTGAGGCTGGTGGGGTTGGCTTCACTAAATTCAAATTTTAGGATTAAGATTAGTTATTAATTTTATCTTTGATAGCTGTTGGCTAATTGAAAATAACGACTTCATTTTAAATTTATTAACGCCGCCTAGCGACGCACCGTAAACACCAAAATTTTAGCTGAAACGAATCAGAGCTCGTCATTGTTAGCAACCAATCACAGCACGTCGTGCAATTAGTTATAAGATCTGTCTGTATTAAATATATTCGAATATTACCTGATTACACACTGTTAGCAATAAGACGACTTAAATATAACCAACAAACCCAGTTCTAATAAATCAATCATTGAAGAGACACCTGCCTCCCGGTTCCTGTTACAATAGCTCTTATCGCTGCGACAAACTAGTGATGAGAGAGTTCTTGACGGCAGTCGTAATAGCCAGCGATCAATTATTAATATACAGAGTTATTTGTGTGAGAAAAAAAAAAATGCGTGGTAATACATTATTTTAACTAATTTTACAATTCACGCTCACATTCATAAGGGTCGATCGATAGGCACAAACGTTGTTGCCCATAAATCGCAATTAATTTTGAATAATTTCAACTAAAAGTTAAAGCCTTATTTGGTCGTATTTACAAAAACTACAATAACGGTAGGTAATATCGTTATTTATATATTTGACGTTTAAAATTTAGCTACTCTTTGAAAAATAACCCCGTATGTATTTCTTTTATTAACACGGGATCTATATCCATTGTTCGTTTTTTGAGCGAGAAAATATTCGATAGCATGAATGGGTCGGCTCGACCGGGGCAGGACCACGCTCTCACAGAATACCAGCGTGAAATAGCAGCATAATGCTGCTGTGTTTCGTATGGTCAGTGTTGAGAAGCGGAGACCCTTTTTACTGGTTACGATGTATTCCATTGCAGTTCTCAGGGGTGACAACGCATCTACATTTTTATTCCTAATAGAAAATGGTTGTAGATCAATTTCTTGGGAAGGCCCTATGTTCAGCAGAGGACTTGTGATGGGCTGTAATGATGATGATGTAAGATCAGGTTATGAACTACTTATTCGTGCTACAACCATAATAGAGTTACAGTCCTGCTCTACCACCAGGTCGTTACTCCATCTAGTGTGGGGCCACACTAAACTTCTCTTACCGGTACGGGGCTGCTCTTCAAGAGCATTTCTTCAAGATCGATTGTGTAACTTATTACTAACTAAATTATTATAGGCTTCGACCCGGTAGGATCAATTAATGGCACGTTAGTTTGATTTATAGATAATCATCAGACTATTTTTACTTATCAGTTTTCTCATTTTTTAAAAATAATCAAGTTTTTCGGCTAAAATGTAGCCTATATTACTCCCGGCATTGCACTCTATCTATTCGTCAACTTTCATTACATTATTCGATTTAGCGATTCCGCATTTTATCCCGAACAGACAAACAAAAATAGTTATTTATTCAATATTTACGTCCTAGGGTCACGCTGCAGCTACGTTACGGTTGTAGCACGAATGGGTCGGCTCGACCGGGGAAGGACTACGCTCTCACAGAATACCAGCAGCGTAAAATAGCAGCTTATATACTTAAATGCTCCTGTGTTTTGTATGGTGAGTGTAGATCTTAGTCCTCAGGATGACAATGCATCTGCATTTTGATTCTTAATAGAGGATAGATGTAGGTGTGTACGGGCCACAGCATCCACTTACCATCAGGTGGACTGTGTGCTCGTTGGACACCCTTATTCTATAAAAAAGTCATGTCTTAATGGCATTCCGTAAACTCCATCAGCTTAATAAAAGGCAGTTATTTCGTTATAAGGGCGCGTCCAATAATCACGTGATGTTTTTTTTAGCATTTTAACACCCCCCCCCCTCTCCCTCTTGGTGATACGTGGTGAGGTTTAAGACTAACCCCCCCCCAAATCACGAGTATTTTAGTACCTATAAAGTATAATCTAGTTTTATTCTGAAAGTAAAGACTATTAAAAAATTTCTAGACAGAAAGGTTGCAGGTTGTTTTTGACTGGCATAAAAATAATATTAAAGAAATGGTATATTCATGCGAAATACATATTATATTTTGCTAGTACATCATCATCATCATTACAGCCCTTCACAAGTCCACTGCTGAACATAGGCCTCCCTCAAGAAATGCAACAAAGCACGGTCCTGAGCCACCTGCATCCATCGACTTCCTGCATGTCTTACCACGTCGTCACTCCATCTAGTGGGGGGTCGCCCTACACTTCGCCTACCGGTACGAGGCTGCCACTCGAGAACCTTTTTTCCCCAACGGTTGTTGGTTCTTCGAGCTATATGGCCGGCGCATTGCCACTTCAGCTTACTAATCCGTTGGGCTATGTCGGTCACTCTGGTTCTACTGCGGATATCCTCATTTCTAAGTTTATCACGCAGAGAAACCCGGAGCATAGCCCTCTCCATAGCTCGCTGAGCGACTTTGAGCGTTCTCATACGGCCAGCAGTGAAGGACCACATCTCGATTCCGTTGGTCATCACTGGCAACACGCACTGGTTTTACAGTCTCGTTTTCAAGTTGGAGGTGTACCTGACGAGAAGATGTGTCGTAATTTCCCGAACGCTGCCCAGCAAGTTGTTACTAGTACATGAACATATTTAATGTACATTGTCCACTGACCACGGATAAGCGACACCAACTGGATATATTCAACACTAACAACTGGATAAGCATCTTGCGAGTCAGTTGTTGGCACTGTGCTTTGTTGAAGATCAGCGTCGGTTTCATCAAGCCACTCGGCGTCATCATTTTCGCGCACTACACAGAGAATCTCGCGATGAGGTCGCGATTCCGATCAATCGTCGCGTGAAGGACGAACATTGTGCATCACTAGACTATTATTCTCTCGACTCGGATTAGGTTCATGCTTGTGATATGAATTTACATGTACACATTACTCACCGCTTTTAGGTTTTGAAATCGCGCGTTTGACGAAGGGTATGTTCCGAAATACAACGCAGTGTACTGTCCAATGAAAATGACGTCATGAATCGACGCTATACTGGTGATTCGTTCCAAAACATTGGACAGTATATGACGTCATACTTTGCGCTATTTGGAAAAGTGTTGGCGATAATTTTGTCATTTTGTGCTCCAAAAATCATTATATCCTCCTAATGGATTTACCATAAATTATTCTATAATTTTTGTATTTGAATAAATAGAAACAAATTCTGACGCTTCAGCGCACACACAATTAAAAATTGTTTTATTATGGCCGGATATCCGACACAATATGGCGGCGGCACGCCAGTACAATAAAGTGTCAAACTATCAAATGATGACGTCATTTGCATTGGACAGTACACTGCGTTGTATTTCGGAACATACCCGAAAAAATAAATACACATGATAATCTTACTACACCCCCCTGTGATATTTCGTGATTTTTGTCAAACACCCTCCTCAAGCCTCACGTGATTAATGGACGACCCCTTAAAGGCAGATACTTCACTTTACTACAGATCTCGTTTCCTCTGAGGACTGAGATGGAATACCCACCAGCTAGTGTACCTGTGACATAAAAGACAAATCGTAATTTGCTCACCTCTTGATCTCATTGTGTGAGTCCAAATGCCTATTCAGTTTGGTACGATCGTAAAAACTCCGGTCGCAGAGGTCGCAGTGGTATCGACGCTCCTTTTCGTGGTACCGCCTGATGTGGCAAGTCAGGTTCGAAGACGTGTAGTAGGACGCCGTGCAGTATTCGCACTGGTACATCTTTACACCTGTGGGAATCGAAATGATGAGAATAGAAAAGGATAGAAGATTTTTAAAGTAATAGATTATGAAATTGAGTTTCTTTGTAAATGTTACTGATGTACATTTATTAACCTTAAGGAGATATAGTAACTCAGCTCAAATTCTAATTTCGCCCCCACTTCCCCGCGCGTCGTATGCTACGTACCGACATGTTTGTAATCACTAATACTGTAAGTAGATAGGTCGTTAGACACTTATTTCATTAGGTTTATCATATTTATGCCTGTTTCTTAACGTCAACCCAGTCGCTTCTTATTTTTATTACGGTTATTTCCCATTTTAATTTTACGTCGTCCTGTTGCGTAAGTGTATCCTGATCGTAAATGACACAGCTTCCCTCCTTCAAAGGCCGAAGCTAGACTAGCCGGGCGGCAGGAAACAAGCTTCAAGATGCCGATAGTTTAGGTAATTTCTTTTTACAATGAAAATAATGGTAATTAAAAAACATAAGCCCTGCTTTATAATAATTATTAACTGAACTAATTATTAGTTCAGTTAAGTTTGGAGGTTACTTTGGATTTTTTTCTATAGAGAAAATTCTACAGAATCGTGTTTTCGTCTATCATAGTACTTAACATTAATCCTCAACTTCACCATATATATATTCCAAAATTAATGCTGCAATATTTTCAGCATAACGGAGGATCTTGCTAAGCCATTTGTGGTAGTATTTTTAATATTTCCCCTTAAGCTGTAATTTATTTCTAGTACAATATAACGATAAGCGATTAAGACCACGTTATAACTTAAAGCTGTCAGCAGGGCTTAAGATTGGCAGGTATACTTTTAGGTCGTCAGCGTTAAGTAGAAAATGGCTATAACGAAACCAGTTGTTTATGTAATTAATAAATAAAATAAACAGTAAGGGACCGGAGAATAGAGCCTTGTGGTACACCGGATGTGACAACGGCTTTACTATGCTGCTGCACCAACCATCATGAGGCCAGCAATGCGCAGAGGCCATTGCCAGCATGAGCATGAGGGGTAATGTAATGTTTGTTTATGTAGATATCTATGGACCATAGCTTTCACTTAACATCAGCGACTGAGTGCTCGTTTGTAAAACGGTAGTAATTAACATAACATAACATAACATAAACACTCACGCCTGTCACCCAGAGGGGTAGGCAGAGACTACGGACTTCCATTTGGCACGATCCTGACATACCTCTTTCGCCTCCTTTACATCCATATATCTACGCATACATGCTCGTCGGTTAAGGGTACTTCTAACGTGGCCCCTTTTCAAAATATCGCCAATTTGGTCGATAAACTTTTTTCTAGGGCGTCCCTTCCCGACTCGGCCGTTCACATCCGCCATATAAATTTGCTCTGTCACTCTTTCCTCATTCATTCTTTCTACACGACCAAACCACCGAAGCATTCATTTCTTAATCCTGGTCAGAACATCAGTAGTAATTAACAGGTATCATTAACAGGTATAATCTAAAATATAATTAACAGGTATAATCAGTAGTAAACAACAGGTAGTAATTCTATAAAAAAATTACATGGTAGAGCAATGCTGCATCTATCTTACGGTTGTAACACGAATGGGTCGGCTCGACCGGGGAAAGACAACGCTCTCACTGAATACCAGCGTAAAATTGCAGGTCAATGTTGCTGTGTTTCGTATGGCGAGTGTAGAGGACCGGAAACCCTTTTTACTGTACACGAGGCATTCCATCTTAGTCCTCAGGGTTGACAATGTATCAGCATTTTGATTGTTAATCGAGGATACGTAATCTCTGCCTACCCTCAGACACTGTTTCTTATAATAACTGACCCTTTTCCGGAGACCCTTTCCACTGGTAAATTAATCGAGGATAGATGTAGATATCTACGGTCTATGGGCCACAGCATCCACTCACCATCAGCGACTGTGTTGGTGAACCTTATTTTATAATAAAAATGGGCTCACTCACTTCACTTACCTGTGTGTATGCGGACATGCTTGACCAGGTCGTGCTTGTGCCATGTACAATAGTCACAATGCTCGCAAGCGTATTGGGGCGGCAGATGAGATCGCACGTGAGTGTAGTGGGACGCGCGATGAACGAATACCTTACCGCAAATCTAAAATACGGACATGTTACACGTTTAGTAAAATAAGTCAATGACTGCTTTATTGGTCAAATCTGATCATCTTCAATGGTCATGAGGTCCCGGGTTCGAATCCCGGGTCGGTACAAAAAAATCAGTTACTGAGTTTTTCACTCACGAAATTTTCAGTAGCTGCCCGGAGTCAGGAAGTTGACAGTGTCTCTCACCTATGCTTCGAAAAGCACGTAAAGCCGTTGGTCCTGCGCCTCATCTCTCTCCGGTCGTGTCGGTTTACCGTCCCATCGGATTATGAGAGTGAGGGCATAGAGAGAGCACTTGTGCTTGCGCATACACTTGGTCACTGTTATCCAGTCGTGTGCCGATGGCTAGTCTTCGATGAGATTTGCCGCCGTGACCGAAATTCGGTCTGGGGGGCATTATTATTGTATGTCAGTCCTTGGCTACCATCCCAATTAATCGTAAGTGGTGATGCAACCGATGATGGTAAGCGCACTGAATTAGTTTAACAAAACCTTATCACTCTTGCCCTTGAAGACACCGGCATTATAATAGGAGCGATGAGACACTCTCACGTGACTTCCATTAAGAGGATAGAGTAAGTCAGCTCAAATTCTAATTTCGCCCCCACTTCCCCGCGCGTCGTATGCTATGTACCGATATGTTTGTAATCACTAATACTGTAAGTAGAAAGGTCGTTAGACACTTATTTCATTAGGTTTATCATATTTATGCCTGTTTCTTAACGCCAAGCCAGCCGCTTCTTATTTTTATCACGGTTATTTCCCATTTTAATTTTACGTCGTACTGTTGCGTAATGTATATCCTGATCGTAAGCGACACAACTTCTCCCGTTCATAAGCCTAAGCGATACTAACGGGGCGACTGGAATCAAGCTCAAGACGCCGATAGTTTAGGTAATTTCTTTTTACAGTGAAAATAATGGTATTTTAAAAAAAGTAAATAACATAAGCACTGCTTTATAGTTAGTTCAGTTAGTATGCAAAGTTTCATGATCTTATTTAAAGTATTTTATGAATAACAGCGGTTTATTGTTTATTTTGGAGGTAACTTTGGATTTTTTTTCTATCGAGAAAATTTTACGAAATCGTGTTTTCGTCTAACATAATCATTAACATTAATCCTCAACTTTACCATATATTTATTTCAAAATTAATGCTGCAATATTTTCGGCATAACGAAGGATCTTGCTAAGCCATTTGACATTATATTTCCCCTTAAATATCCATTACAAGTTTTACTTAAGAAACAGGCGCTATGCGAAAATGAAGGCGGTGTTTACATACGCTAGGGATTTCAATGGCTTCGACGTTCGGCGTAATGTTTTGCTTCCTGTTTGGTATTAGACGAACGTTGTATTATTTTAATTTGGTTTTGTAAGGAAAAATGCCATGGCGTCGGACTATGGTATCTCCCATAACACATAAGGGGGATTTTGCCGTAGCTGCCACGCGTGGGTAACTGCAGTTCTTTTATTTATAAATTGTTATCAAGAAGATTCTGCTGTCCACCTCCAGCTTCAGTTTTCCTTTGTTGCTTCTCCCCCGGATCTCTGTGCTGAACAGACGTGATACACTTAATCCTTTTTTTTTTTTTTTTTCAAATAATTAAAAATTTTCAAAATTATGAAGTGTTAAAGTGTACGAAATAATAGGAGAGCATAAACTGTAAGAAGCCTGTGCCGTCGCTCAGTGCAGTGTTAATGGTGAGTGAATCTAACACGCACTCACTTACACTCTGATAAGTTTAATTTACCCACTGCACACATACGCAGCTGCGTACTTGTGTAACGACTACGTGCCTACGCGCATTGCTTCTGCTTGCCTAGTACTTGCCGTTTCTTCACGCCCGGCTACTATGCCGCTTAAACGTACACCGCCTACTACGCCGACTGCAATGTTGCATTGTAAATCAGACTCTAATATTGCCGATTCGCCGACAAAAACAACTATTGCTGTGCCGACCGTTTCACGCGCGCAGGCTACGAGCGATCCTTATATTGCGATACGGAAACGTAAGAGAGATACTGACATTAGCCGGTCAGAAATTATGGAAATGTTTTCTGCGCTCAAAAAAGGAACAAAATGACAAATTCACCGCCCTAATGGATAGGGTTCAGAGTGGTATAAACATGCACACAGAGCAAAATAAGGCTATTTCTAGTTCCATTGACTTTTTAAGCCAAAAAATATGATGAATTACTCTCAAGAATAAGTTCTTTAGAACAGGATAAAGCAGCCAACCGCAAATATATACAGACTCTAGAGAACAAACTGGAGCAGATGGAGCATCGTCATCGCAGCTCGAGCATTGAAGTGCGAAATTTACCCAATAAAAAACGGGGAATCGAAAGAAGACCTATTAAATATTATAAAAAAGGTAGGAGCTGCCATCAGTGTACCAATCCAATCGGAAGAGATCCGTGACGTCTACCGCATAAACACTAAGAAAGATAATAACCAGCCCATAGTAGCGGAGTTGTCAACCGTGTTCTTAAAGAATCAAATAGTTAAGTCCGTCAAGGCATACAACAAAAAATATACGAGCTGCAAGTTGAATACCTCAAACTTAAAACTTGATGGTCCACCCAAACCGATTTTCGTGTCTGAGAGTTTGACAATTAAGACGAAGAAACTCTTCTTTCTGTCCAGGGAATTTGCTAAAATTAATTCCTTTAAATATTGCTGGACATCAAGGGGTAAAATATATCTTCGGAGGGCGGATGGAGCTCCACTTGTAAAGGTTAATAGCGAGAGCGACCTAGATAACATTAGCAACAAATGACTATATTTATTAATTTGTTTTATTTATTTTCATAAAATATGCATGTTTTATTGTTCTCTATGTTTTATAAGCTTTTGTTGTTTAATCTTAATTTTTTCAGCTTTAATTCATATGCGTATATCATTGATACATATTCATATAATTTCGCTGATAACTCAACACATAAAATTACATCATAAATTACTTACACTTAATAAACTAGTGCATAATATTCACACTTACACTTTACACTCAAGAATTATAAATATTAAATACTCCAGTAATATGTTAAAATTTATGGTTTCTATGTCCGGATATCTGATAATATATTGTTTTGAAATATTTACTTTTCAGAAATATGTAAATTATTATTGTACACTGCAACCCATTACTATTTTGATTCGAAATGGATGATAACTCTTTTATCACAGCCGAAGTTGATACCTCTAATAGGATAGAATGTCTTTCACTAAGTAACGTAAACAGCCTTAAATTTTTAAAATCGGATATAAATAGTAAACACACATTTTCAATTGTTACATTGAATATACGAAGCATTAATTGTAACTTTGATCTATTTATAGCATTTATATCTAGTCTAGACATGTCCATAGATGTTTTTGTTTTGACAGAATGTTGGACTAGTGTTAGTAATCCACCACCGAGTCTCAAAAATTATAACATTTTCTGGACGAAAAAATATTTAAATCAAAATGATGGGGTAGTTGTATACGTCCGAGAAGATATTAAAGCATCCTCTTATGAGCCAACCTTTCACGATGGAAACTGCCTTATAATAAAAATCACGCCAGATTATACAATCATATGCTCATACCGCCCGCCTAGTTTTCGTAATGCTAGTAAATACTTAGAATCCATTGACGCGGTCTTAACTAGTATTTCAACTAAAAATGTAATATTTACTGGTGATATTAACTTAGATATTCTGTCATGTAACTTATCAGCATCCTCACAAGATTATTTAAATATTATGGCTATGCACGGTTTAAAACAAGGTATTGACCGTCCTACTAGAGTCAATACTTGCATTGATCATTTTATGGTCAAAATTTATAACTCTTGGAAAACTATTGTTTTTGAACAGCAAATAACTGATCATTCACCTATAATGCTTTATATAAACAATGCTGGTGTTAGTAAAGATATATTAAAATATAAAAAAATAACCGTTAATTATGAAAGGATCAAAGAAATACTGCTGGGAGAAAACTGGCATGATGTGCTACATATTAGTAACATAAATTCAGCCACTGAGATTTTCACGAATAAACTTTATTCATTGGTTAAACAGAACTCGCAAATCAAAACTATTACTAAAAAGCACCAACCTCTCAAACCATGGATAACAAGAGGAGTGGTAAGATCTATAAGAAAAAGAGATAATCTACATATGAAAACTAAAAAGTTACCAGATAATGAAGAACTAAAGGTTAAGTATACAAAATATAGAAACATGTGTAACAAAATTATTAAAAATCTGAAAAAAAGAATATTATAGAAATAAATTAATGAAAAATCAAGGAAATACAAAAGGAACGTGGAAGATAATAAAAGAAGTGTGTAATTTAAATGTAGCAAAGAGGCCTTCTAATACTTTACTAAATATAAGCAACCATCCTACACAGTCGCTGAATGAAGTAAATTTATTTTTCACCTCTGTCGGTGAAATACTTGCAAAAGATACCCTACAGAAGATGAATACCTCTGATCGTGAACTTGCGTTATTGATAAATAAAACTAACCCACCAGTTGGCTCTATGTCCCTTACACCAACTGATCCCGTGGAGGTCAGGAACATTGTCCTCGGACTCAAATCGCACAGTGCTCCTGGCTGGGATAATATCACAGCTAAATTACTACAGACATTTATAATATTCCTCGCTGAACCTATAACACATATATGTAATTTGAGTCTTGAAACAGGCATTTTTCCAGCAGCTTTCAAAAAAGCTATTGTGTGTCCTATTTATAAAGCGGGTGACCCCCATAGTCCTACAAATTATAGACCTATCTCTATTCTTTCAACTCTGTCTAAGGTGTTGGAAAAGTTGGTTAAAAAGAGGCTCATGCGATATCTTGAGTTTAATAATCTACTGAGTGAAAATCAATTTGGATTCAGAGAAGGTAAATCAACCGAAGACGCAGTTCTAACGCTAACTAGAAAAATCTCTACATACCTCGATGGTGGATACAAGTGCATGGGTGTATTTTTAGACCTCCAAAAGGCTTTCGATACTGTTTCGATTCCGATCCTTTTGGCCAAGTTGGAGAATATGGGGATCAGGGGGTTAGCTCGTGACTGGTTCGCAGATTATCTTGTCGGAAGATCACAACGTGTACGGGTAGAAGGTCATGAGAGTGATAGTGCAGGATGCACCTACGGCGTTCCACAGGGCAGTGTACTAGGGCCTCCTCTCTTCCTCTTATATATAAATGATCTGTGCAAAATTAATTTTCCTAATCTTGACTTGCTTATGTTTGCAGATGATACTGTTTTACTCGTCCATGATAAAAATTGGCAAGAAGTGACAGACCTGGCGGAAGATTGTCTCTCTATAGTGACGCAATGGCTAGAAAATAACCTTTTATCCCTTAATATCAACAAAACGAAGTTCATGTGCTATAGCAAGACAACATCAGGAGGACCTGATGCCGACGTCAGAATTAAAATTCATACATATCCATGCAATCGTAGTAGTCGACCTGACCAGTGTAACTGTTCCTTTTTGTTGCGTGTAGATTCAATAAAGTACCTTGGGGTTGAAATTGATGATAAAATAAAATGGAAAATGCATATAATGTCATTGTCTACAAGATTGAGAAAACTCATATATGTTTTTAAAACTCTAAGAACAGTTGTTGACTACAAATTAGCATTACAAACCTATAAAGCCCTTGGTGAATGCATTATTAGGTATTGTATCTGTGCTTGGGGTACTGCAGCAAAATCCTACTTGATCACTGCAGAACGTGCACAGCGTGCAGTACTGAAAGTGTTATTCTCCTTACCCTTCAGACATCCTACAACAGCTGTCTATGACAAAGCCAATGTTCTTAGTATTAGAAAATTATTTATTTACGAAAGTCTACGCCATTATCACAAAAAAAATGTTCCTTACTTGCCTAAATCATCTTCGAGGCTTGACCGTTGTCCTATTCCCAAAGTAAAAACAAGATTCGCCCAAAAGCAGTTTGATTTTATTGTTCCACACCTATATAACAGACTGAATAAGGAGTATAATGTAAAAAAGTGCAATAATAATGGTATTAAGAAGTATATTTTTTTATGGCTTAAAAACCTTGATTATGACGATGTAGAAAACATGTTAACTGGTTTTTATTACTGACAAAAACACACACACACACACACACGCACACACACACACACACACACACACACACACACACACACACACACACACACACACACACACACACACACACACACACACACACACACACACACACACACACACACACACACACACAAACACACGCACGCACACATTAATACAACTACATACATAACAGATATGCGCTAGTGAGTAGCCCGTTCTTTACTAATTTTTGTTTTCTTGATTTAAGTAGTTCTGCTGAATAACTTATAATGTACCTTATCTTATGGCATAAATTAATAATGCAATGTTATGGGAGAAGCCACTGGCTCCTGAAACACAGTTTTACACTAGTTTAGGAGCCTATGGATTCACTGAAATATTTATTGTAATATTTTATGTCAAATAAAGTTTATTATTATTATTATTATTATTATTTGTCCCCTCTGACGGCACCCACAAGATGATATGAGGTAGCGGAAATTCTTACATCGCGACTACACGGTAAGCATTCTCACATCTCACAGAATACCAGCGTGAGACAGCAGCTTAATTCTGTTGTGTACCGTGTTTTTATAATGGAGACGACGATTTTTTTACACTGAGTCTTTTTTTATAGGAAAAGGGTGACAAGCGAGCACACAGTCCAGCTGATGGTAAGTGGTTGCTGTGGCCCATAGACATCACCTATCCTCGATTACGAATCAAAATACAGATGCGTTGTCAGCCTTGAGGACTAAGATGGAGTGCCTTTTTTCTGGTAAAAAGGGTCTCCGGATCTCTACACTCACCATACCAAACACAGCAGCATTAAGCTGCTATTTGACGCTGGTCTTCTGACAGCGTGGTCCTTTCCCGGTCGAGCGGACCCATTCGTGCTACAAGTTTACAATTAATATAGCTGCAGAGTATGGTTTGCAGCTATTTGCCGATAGGTGGCGCTGTAGTCAATTTATTAACAAATTCCATATTTAAAGACTAAATTGTGTCATATTTACAATAAACATAATATGTGGGTTATTAGTGCCTAAGATAATCACAAAAATCGACTCGACTCATGAATTCGTAATGGAATTCAATCCGCTAACTACCGGAAAGAGCAGAACAACGTCTGTCAAACCAGCTAGTAATTTTTATAGGATAGGGTGACAAACTAGCACACAGTCCACCTGATTGTAAGTGGGTGCTGTTGGCATCTACATCTATCATCGATTATGAATCAGAATGCAGATGCGTTGTCAGTCCTGAGGACTAAGATGGAATGCCTCATTTCCAGTAAAAAGGGTCTCCGGGTCTCTATACTCACCATAGGAACACAGCAGCGTTACGCTGCTATTCTGTAAGAGCGTTGTCTTTCCTCGGTCGAGCCAACCCATTCGTGCTACTAATATATCTGCAGCAATGCTCTACCACGTATACAACAATAGTATTTAGTAATATATACCTCACAAACAGAGCCGTGGCAGATCAGGGGTTTAGCGCTCGCTGTAAACTTCACACACGGGTTTTATCGCCGCCGGCACCGATGAAATTTTTTTGTTAATCGTAATTTTAAGTGCCCATTTACCACATGCTCGGCGGTGAAGGAAAACATCGTGAGGAACACTGCATTTTTGAAAAATAAAAGAATATTTGGAAGACATGTGAGCAGTGTGGCGGACAATTTCTTGCCCTAAAACCCTCTCAGAAGTGGGAGGCCTGTGCCCAGCAGTGGGCTGTAACTTTAACTTTACCTCACAAACGAAACTATCACTATCCTTGTGCACATTTCGCTTGTGTTCGTCCGACTGCTGCTTGCTGGTGAACTTGAGTCCACAGGGCTCGCAAAACAGTTTGCGAAATTTATACTTTCTTAAACGTTTGGGAACCCCTGACTTGTTGTATGGGCCTCTCTTCTTTCTCACTTTCAATGACAACTCTTCTCTTACGCTGAAAGAGATGTTAACTTCATTTTAATTTAGGTACACTTAGTTTAGTTTAGTTTACGACGGGCTGTTTTCCGCAACTCCACGTCTAAGCGCGTATTTTGCGTGTGGGCAGGAATAATGTGCTTATTCGAGCCATGAAATCTCCCCGAAGAAGTTCAACAGTCCTTTGATATTGTAAGCAACTTCGAGGAGCGATCCCGGCGTGCCGAGATGTTTAGCCCAGTATGAAGCGACCTCCGGACATGTCAGCAACACGTGAGCCGCCGTTCTGCCTCTCCCTTGCATGCCGACCCATTCCTGCTACAACCACAATACAGCTGCAGCGTGGCTCTACCACGTATACACCATATAGTATAAAAATCAATCTCAAAATTGGCTCGACCGATTCTGATGAAAGAATCATGCCCACTTTCCATACATTAAAAAAACCTGATAATGAATGTTCATGACTGCCTCGTTCATCTAGTGGCTGTAGTAGTGCGACTGCTGATCGTAAAGTCCTGGGTTCGAATCCCGGGTCGGGCCAAAAAATTAATTACTGAGTTTTTCCGTCAAGAAATTCTCAGTAGTTGCCCGGAGTCAGGAAGTTGGAAGTGTCTCACCCCCGTACCTCGGAAAGCACGTAAAGCCGTTGGTCCTGCGCCTGATCTCTCTCCGGTCGTGTCGGTTTACCGTCCCATCGGATTATGAGAGTGAGGGAATAGAGAGTGCACCTGTGCTTGCGCATACACTTGGGCACTATAATCCTGTCCTGCGCCCATAGCTGGTCTCCGTTGAGGCAGGCCGCCGTAACCGAAATTCGGTCTGGAGGACATTATTATTATTACAACTACTTTTTTTATGGAATAACAGTCTACCTGACGGTAAGTGGATGTTGTAGCATATAAACATCTACATCTATCCTTAATTGCCTCTTTACCAGTAAAAAGAGTCTCCGGATCTCTACACTCACCATACGAAACACAGCAGCATTAAGCTGCTATTTTATGCAGGTATTCTGTGAGAGCGTGGTCCTTCCCCGGTTAAGCCGACCCATTCCTGCTACAACCACAATACAGCTGGGTGGCTTTACTACTTATATACCATATAGTATAAAAATCAATTGCCGTCCGTTAGTCACCCAAACTCCAAACCGGCTCGACCGGTTCTGATGAAATTTGTGGACTCGAGTGGGGTTTGGGTAAGTAATTTTATATAGTTGATAGAATCAGGCGTTACTTTGCGGAAATCCATTATAATAAAGATATTAACTAATTTGCAACCATCCTCCCAATTAAATACAATGATGTGTCTTACCTGGATTGAAGATCACCTCCCGCCCTCCCTCAATTGCGTGCAACCTCCACTAATCCCGTCACCACTAATCCCAGCACCACTACTCCCAACACCACTACTCCCGACACCACTACTCCCAACATCACTGTTCCAGGAAAGACACAACGTCGACGATAATACGACACGTGTTTCGCCTCTAAATGAGGCATCTTCAGGTGATGTAGACTCTACGGCGGCTGACCGCTAAGACTCATTGTATTTAATTGGGGGGATGGTTGCAAATTAATTAATATCTTTATTAGTAAGTTTATATAAAATTACTTACCACTCTTTTTTGATTTGTAATTTGACTCGGTTGCTTTTCCTAACACTGACAGCGTTACTCTCATCTTTCACTTGCGAATTTTCTAATATTTCCGTTACATCATCACTAGGTTCAAACAAGTCCTCCTTTACATCATCATCATCATCAGTTTTCACACTGAAATCACATGAAGCAGGCTCTTTGATTTCTTCAATGTCTTCTGGTTTCTCTTCCTTTATATTTCCTGTAATCGAGTTTCTAAACGTCTCTTCAGCCAGCAAACATTGAGTTTTGAATTTGTGAGCGATTGACAGATCCTCAAGACAAATGTTGCAGATCTGTGAGGGTAGACCATCTTCATTTTTGAACTGAAAGACAAAATATACACTATTTTAATTTTCTAATAGCTTTTATTTATGGGCCCATAAAAGTCAACTACCGGTTTTATACGCACCATTGTAGGAAGATATTGTCTTAATTTATAGACTGTAATAACATGGGCTTAACTTAATTTAAAGCGTGTAATAACAGGGGCTAAACTTAATTTAAAGCGTGTAATAACATGGGCTAAATTTAAAGTGGGTAATAACAGGGGCTTAACTTAATTTAAAGCGTGTAATAACAGGGGCTAAACTCGCTGTGATTTCTGTACGCGAGCTACCGGGGTTCAAACTCCGACGGCAGCTATGAAATTGTTATTTGCAATTTAAAGTGATGATTTATCACGTGCTCGGCGATGAAGGAAAACATTGTGAGAAAACCTGCATGTCTGAGAAATAGGAAAAAAGTATTTCGAAGACATGTGAAGTTCGCCAACACGCATTTCGGCAGTGTGGCGGACATTTCTTTGCCCTAAAACCCTCTCAAGAATGAGAGGAGGCCTGTGCCCAATAGTGGGACGTATATTGGTTGTAATTATAACTTTCAATGAAAAATAAAAAATGTTGTAGCATACTAGCATTTTTAGTAAATTAGTTTTGTGAATCGTGAACAGATGTGCTTGTCTAATATCAAAATCCAAAAGTACAAACATAAATAATAATTTTGTTAAATGGCTCTACGGGTGGACAAATTAAAAAATATATAGTTTTAGAAATATTCCAAGACGTGTTTACTGAATATAGGCCTCCTACAAGAATAGCCATAAAGCACGGTTCTGAGCCACCTGCATCCAACAACATCCTGCATGTCTTACCAGGTCGTCACGAATGCAAATATTATTACTATTATGAATAAATAATAATAATAATAATAATTGCATTCCTTGCCATTTCCAGCACCCATTGAAGAGTTAATGTAGAAAAGGAACCTTTAATGAGATATAATAGTATAAAATAAAATTAAAAATTTAATTATATAATTTATCAAATTTCAATTTGCATTTTATTTGCCTTTAATGTATGTGTTGTAAAACTTTCAAGTACAGATAATATTTATATTAAAAACTGGCCAAGTGCATGTCGGGCCATGCACAATGGGCTTTCTTAATAACGAGCGAAACTGGTGAGTTCGCAGTTAGACCGCTATAACGACTAAAAAACTAAAAATGGGCCCAAATACGATAATAGTAACTGTAGGACTTATTTTCAAATCAGACTTATAGAGAGTGGTATTCAAAAAAGATTAAAAAACTTTTCAATTTTGAAAATATTACAATCTACATCAAATCACTCACATGCCAAGTCTGTACAAAGATGGTCATACTTAGTTGGACTATCTATTTATATATACCCCCGGCAGTGCAACCCTAAAATATATGGCCGTAACAAAGCTTCTCATAAACCATCACTGTCCTAAATTCTCCCGAGGTCCGCTCGCATAAAATAAGAGTAGCACAAATGAAACTGTATGATGCTATATGATTGTACGAATACTTTGTAATAGGTCCTTACATATGAATTTGGCGTTTTGTACGGGAGGAATATAAAGTCAATTTTTTTTGTAAAATATATTTAATTAATCACAGTATGCACCGTTGTTTACTATGCACTTTTGCCATCTCATACGTAGTTCATTGATCCCTTTACTATAAAAACCACGGGGGCGAGAATCAATAAATTCTTTGAAGGCGGTTTGGACTGCCGCATCGGAGTTGATTTTTTTTTCCTTGTAAGAAGTCTGTCTAAATTCCGGAAAAAATGGTAATCTGTTGGATCAAGACCCGGGAAGTACGGTGGATGTCGCAGACGTTCAAATTGTAGCTCATCTAACTTTGTGGTTGTTTGTTGTGCAGTGCGTGATCTTGCGTTGTCGTGAAGCAGCAGTGGCCTAAAGCGATTGACCAATCTCGGCTGTTTAACAGCTAGTTCTTCCTTCATGTTTTGTAGTTTCTGACAATAGATATCTGCCGTAATCATTCAGCCAGATTTTAGAAAGCTGTAGTGAACGATACCGGCGCTAGTCCACCAAACACTCACAAGTAACTTTTTCCGAGTCAATTTTCGTTTAGCGCAGAATTTGGCTGGGTGTCCAGGGTTCAGCCATTGCGACGAGCGCTTCTGATTATCGTACAGTATCCACTTTTCATCAAAAGTAATGATTCTATTTAAAATCCCTTCATTTTTGTGTCGGTTGAACAAATTTACACAGCAGTCGACGCGTGTTTGCAAGTTCGATTCACTCAATTCATTCTTGTGTGGCTTGGGCATACGATTTTCCGTTATTTGTTGATTTGTCTGTAGGTTCTTGTTCCTTTCTAGTGTATCCAGGGTTTTTCCAAACTTTGGTGATTGGATGGGGATATCGGACTTTCAACAGTTCTTTGTAGACTATGCAACCTTTGTAGTTAGCTGGATGGTTTCCCTCGCAGAGGACACATTTAACCTCTTTTGATCGCACCACACTTCAGCTTGCTTACGGAAAGCGTAAGCAAGCTGAAGTGTGGTGCGAACCTGCACATTTGACGCATCTGGGCTTTCTATTGCAGAACTTTTGTGTGTGGTTGTAATCTTGGCAATTAGTGCATTGGGGGATTACTCGCCTTGGGCTAGGTGCTTCAAATGATATGCGACGGTGTAGTAGATATTTGACGTTATATATGTCTTTATTATTTTCGCGGGGCTCCAGTTCGATGTTCCACATTGGTAGCGCCTGTTTTTTTGAGTTTTGGACTTGTCTGTAGATAGGTGTAGATGTTTTAGCACAACTCTAAAACTGCAGTCTTGTTTTGATCGGTAACTATAAAATTCGGTATCTTTAGCCTTTAGTTCTTTATAAATAGTGGAGTATGATTCGGCTGATTTTGGTTGTATTTTAACTCTGTCACCTCGTAATACCTTAATTTCATATTCTCCTTTTGCTACGTCTTCTAATAGTTTCAACAAAGGTTGTATATTATTGACTCCGTCAATAAATAGTGGAGGGGTCTTGTGGGCTTCGGTGTTTGTATTTCAGGCTTGTCTGCTTGCTCTATAACTTCGAGCCCTTTGAATCGATTGGATGTTGGTACTGCTGGTGTTGCAAGCCAGTAATTCAATTTTGCCTGCTTTTGATTGCGCATAACTGCATCTGGACCGGATCTTTGTCTTTTGCCGCAGTACACTTCTGTGAACAGCTGTTCTTTATCTGTTTTATCTGCCAGTTCGATGTTCCCTTGATTAGTTGCTCCACTAAAGGAGCTTGATCTTGGGCGGTTTGTGAACATTCCTTTACGGAAGAGTTGTTGGGTCATAGTTTTTGAGTTACTCTTATCTAATTTTTGTTCGTTTTCAGGGTTATAATTGCTCATTCTGTTCCCACGAGTAGGGTCGATTAACACGTCACAAGAGGGGAGACGCCCATTCCCTCAAGAAGGCAATATACAACGGCGTTTGCCTGGCCCACCGAGGTTGGCGCTAAGGACTTGCCTCCTGCAAGCCATGCATCCCATCGGCACGTGGTCCCACCTTAAGATTAGGGTAACTTTTTAAAGAGGTGTTCTACCTCGCGGCCCGGGGGGCTAAGTCAAGGCCCTCGATTCTGTTGATGCACAGAGTTGCGAGTTGTAGCGATCATTTCCTACCTCCAACAGGTTCTGGCTTGTTAGGCCAGGGTTTTATCGGGTTAATTACCGTCGCCCGATGCTCGACGTTGATCTTTTACGGCTGGTTAGATCTCCACTCAAACAACGCTCCTCTTTTCTCATACGGACTTGGGACCGTCAAAGGCAGAGTTAGTAAATATACCGATATTTCATGTTTTCCATTGTGCGGTAATAAGCGACGCCAAAGAAAAACATAATGAGGAAAAAACAAACCAACTAAACGAATTTATAAATTTTAATTTGGAATTCTTAACCAAAGAGGAGATATTTCAGATCAAAGTGTACGCTACGCAGTCAAAACGCTAATTTCATATATAAGGACTCAATATGAGGCCCACAATAGCTAACAATTCTAAAAAATAAGCGAAAGTAGTAAGTAAGAAAGATCTGCCATGCCTATCCCGCATAGGGATAACTAAAGCTGTAGTAGTAATGCAATAAGTCATTTTCTTTGTAAAATGTTTATTTCTTACAGTTTACAATAACATTACAAAGTTATAATGCTAGCTGCGTTATAACTTTGTGTGTTTTGGGTCAATTTCTATCGAGTTGTAACGAAATTTTATTAATCCAAATGCATTTAATAAGATGGTAGACTATTTCCCAACACAACGATTTAGATGGTAGAGGGGGAAGAGACACATGACTAATGAAGAATACCACTTTAAAGCTAAAAATTTCGCAAACGGACCCCTTAATCGAAAAGAAGTTTTTCCATACTCTCAATGTTTTTTAAAGACCCCACCAAAAAATTATCCTCCATTTACCTGTATGGCAGGTACCCAAAATAAAATGTTTTTTAAGATGATATTGCCGTTTTTTAAGCATGATTAATATCTATAACTGTGCCAAATTACAAATTTGTAGCACCTAGGGCAGGGATGGCAAACCAAAGGCATGCGTGCCATCTACGGCACGTAACACAATATTTTGAGCACGCCACCATTCACAAAGTTCACTAGGAAGTGGACTACTATTGCTAATGACGCATAGTTCGTTTCATCATCATTACAGCCCTTCACAAGTCCACGCCTTCCCCAAGGAATATATAGTTGGTTTATGCATAGCATAATAGTCAATTTCTTTAACACAACTGTATTAAAAAGTTCTTTATCATCTAATCTGCAACAACAGAAGACACATTAATGTTGCTATAATTTGAATCTGCGCATATAACTGAAACATTATACATTGCAAAATGTATTAATGTCTCAACTCAAAACTCTTTGTTTACTTTTTGTAGTAAATAAACAGTTTTGAGTCCATATAATTGAGTGCTATTACTTTTTCAATAATCACAATGTCAAAATTATTTTACAGCACGTCTATTACCAAATTAGGCATATCTTTAAAAAAAATGGCACTTTGATACATAAAGGTTCGCCACCTATGACCTAGGGTCTCTGAGTAAAACTGCGGACGGACGGACGAACCCTAAAAATTTGATCTACATATATTATTATTTGTCGTCCTGAATTAACAATATATTGTGAACATGTTATTGGTATAACTTCATTAATAAATAATAAGCAATATAGTAAAAACTATTAGGTATTTACGCATATAGTTGTTAACTCAGTTATAACCAACTTGGATGAAAGAAGAAAATGCCTAACAATATTTCTCGATCTAGCGAAAGCATTTGACACAGTCCCAATCCCACACCTCATAACCAAGCTAGAAAAATCGGTGTGAGAGGCTTACCTCTGCAGTTAATAGCAAACTTTCTGAGTGGAAGAAAGCAGAGAGAATAGAGAATACGATAAGTGAAGAGTTAACTGTCAAATTTGGTCTGCCCCAAAGTAGCATACTCAACCCAACGCTGTTCTTGACATATGTCAACGACTTATGCCAGCTTCATCTGCACAGAGGAAAAATATTCTCATTTGCCGACGATACTGCACTATTCTTCAGTAGCAATCGTTGGAGGGAGGTCTTTGATTCAGCACAAAGAGGTTTTACTAAGTGCTGCCTCTGGTTACAAAAGAATGTGTTGACACTAAACACTGATAAAACAAAATACATAACCTTCACGCTTAGGTCGAACCAAAGTCCCTCTCACTCCCTCTCCATCACAGCCCATGTTTGCAACTCTGAGCCAACTATTTGCAATTGTTCTGCTATTCAAAGAACAGACAAAATCAAATACCTCGGAATTATAATAGACCAAACCCTGACTTTCAAGCCACATATCGAGATACTTGTCACTAGGTTATGCAAGCTCATTTACATCTTTAAATCTCTTAAACACGTAGCAGACTGCCGAATCATCAAGATGGTCTACCATGCTCTATGCCAATCACTTGTAGATTACTGCATCAGCTCATGGGGTGGTGCGGCTAAAACCCACCTAATCGAGGTTGAAAGAACCCAAAGGGCCCTCCTAAAAGTCAGTGCAGGTCTCCCGTTCTCCTTTCCTACAGTGGATCTCTACAGAAAGTGGGACGTTCTAACAGTGAGACAGCCTTTCATCGTACAAACTGTTCTAATGAAACACGCTCAATGTAAATACGATCCAGAGCTCTTAAAGACAAACGTAGGAAAGGTTCTGTTTGTCGAACCCAATCCTTCCATTCTGCCACCTCACACAATTTCTTCTGTGTCCTAGGACCATACATGTATAATAAACTGAACAATATTCTAAACTTCTATCCCTTACCTAAATCGAGCTGCAAATCCGTTCTTACCAAATATCTGAAAACTTTAGACTATGAAGCGACCGAAAACCTACTAAAGTCGCCCATATAATTTATATTAATGTCGTCGAAGTCTTCATACTTTCTTCTTCTTATTTTGGGTTTAAATGCAATTATATGTTAGTCCTAACTCACCGCAACAGCAGGTACGTACACAGTCACTCACACACACATTCCCACACACAAACACACACACACACACACACACACTCACACACACACACGCACACACAAAAGGCACGCGCCTGCTCTAGCTCACATGCACAACTACACTTTTCATGTACACACACTTATTGATGTGAAATTTGTAATTACTGCAGTTCATTGTGTTTACTTAATTATAATCTCCTTTCTGATTTGTATTCCTCAGACTGTTGCTTTATACGCGGGGGAGCCCTGGTGACCTTACAATGTATGTATTATTGTGGTGGTATTACAATACAGTTTTTTATGTATTGATTCTATAATGCCAAACTTCTTCATAGAAAAGTAGTATCTAAACATAAGTATATATGGGTTAAAGTGCTGTGGGTGGGTGCGGTCACATCCTCTACATGACCTTATCTGGGGGGAGGGAGTAAAACCCATTCTTCATATTTTGTAAATCAAAATTTAATATTAAAAATCTAGTTCCATTTCATAAGCTGAATGGTTTTCTTCACTCTATAATGTACACTTTGATTTACATCTTATTTTGCAAATTCTTAATGTTAATTATAATTTTAAAATCTTAAATGTGTTCATTTTGATTGATTTTAAATGTTATAAATAATACTATACTATATATAATATAATAATACTATACTAAATAATAGTCATAGTACATTCTTCCTGCGTGATAATCCAATCTAAATAAAAATTATAAATTCTTACGTAAGAGGAAGTCGAGAAATGTTATGTACGTGGGGGTAGGGGAAGGGCAAAAATTGCCAAAACCATTCATGTGTAATTAATAGTTGGCCCCTTATCACCTGCAGGGTATTTATCCTATTACTCAATACATACTCTCTAAAGAATAAAACTCGGTGCAATTTGGTCTTTTATATAGAATAAGGCTGACAAATAAGCACACATTTCACCAGATGGTAAGTGGAAGCTTTGGTTATTAGATCTCTACACCTATATGAAATTACGAATCAAAATGCAGACACATTGTAAACCCTAAGGACTAAAAAGAATTGCCTCATTTCCATGAAAAAGGGTAAGCACAGTAACATTAAGCTGTTATTTTATGCTGGTACTCTGTGAGAGTGTGGTCCTACCCCGGTTGAGCCAACCCATTTGTGCTACAACTATAATATAACTGCAGCATGGCTCTACCACGTACAGAATTCACCCACGATATCATGTTTTCATTGGGTGGTCTAAGTAATTATACAATATTAAATACCTACCCGTATTCCAGTGCAGAAGAAAATCTTATCAACAATATCACCCCTATCAAATATGTGTAACATCTTGATCTTTTTGCCCATGCATACTCTACAGGCATCCATTATTTAATGTGTTCGTTTAGTTCACATTATAAGTTCACTTTAATAAGTTTAAAAAATACCTTGAAAGTATTTACATTTAAAAAAATATTTTGTATATTTTATCAATTACAAAATATTGTAATTCATAAATTACATTTTTATTGTGTATGATGTTAGACATTAGAGTTTATACATTTAATTCTGCTACATATAAAAATTCTAAAAAGCCAAAACAAACATAAAATGTCCCATCTATATCATTGATCAACAGTGTTGCCAGATTTTTTCACCTTCCCCCCTAGATTTTTCCAAAAAACACCTAGTTTCCCTATGTAGGGGGATAAAAAACCTCTGAATTTTTATTCGGCCAAGTTTCGTGTGAATCAGATTTATCAAAAAAAAAAGTTTCTACTACATACAAACAACGTACTTAGAACATTCAACCCAATGGACGAGTAATGCGCCTAATGCTACTGTTACGAGCTTGAGGTTCGTGACAATAAAAATTGCCGATAGAATTACCAAAATTAACTCTTTAATTCACTTTACACTAATTAAACTTATAACACTAATAATTAATCACACTGATTCACTTCATTTCGCTCCGAAGCTTCGGTTGTCTCGCCAAATTCAATACTTCCCCGATCTCATCTTGCAGCGCCTATAAATACAAATTAGCACCGAAACATCCATAATATTAAAGTTAACATGCGCAAGGGGCCAAAAGTTCGAGTGTCGACTTCTAGAAGCTTAGTTATTCGTTCCGAGACTAGATGGCGCTGTCGGTTGAAAGATTAGTGATGTCATTTTCTGGAAGCCCCCTCGCTGTCGTCCCTGACACTAGATGGCGCTAGTGCCGTATACATGACGTCGACTTATTCGCGCAACCGTCCCGAGCATTATCAGCCCCATAATAACATGGACGATTTTAGGAGTCCCTCTTGCGCCTTTCCGTATCCGGTAGGTTACATCGTTGATCCTGGTTACAATCCGGTACGGACCGTCCCATTTAGCTTGAAGCTTAGGAGATTTCCCTTTGCTGCAGACTGGATTGTGCTGTGTTGTTCATTTTGAGTATCACTTAGTGAAGTAATCCATCACAACTATGAAATACTTGTTACCGCTTTCACTCTCCGGAAACGGCCCCGCCACGTCAATGGCTATTCTCTCCCATGGTGCACCAACATTGTACAACTTCAACGCACCTCTACTACGAGTCTCAGGTCCCTTTACGGCCACACAACTTGTACATTTGCGACACCAGTCCTCGACATCGTTTCGACATTGGACCCAGTAAAACCGTTCTCGGATCTTCAGTAGAGTTCGTTTAACTCCCAGATGGCCTCCTGAATAATCATTATGATACAGCTGTAGAACATCCGGTATTTTAGCTTTAGGGACAACCTGCAAATGACAATGACAATTGACTCCAATTGAATTGCAAATGACAGCTGTCTCCCCGAACATTTTCCCATTTACGGCACAGAACTCCATCCTGAAGCAGCAAGCTGTCCCACTGGGCCCAATAGCTTTTAGTTGTCGAACTCATCGCTGAGACGTCGCTCCACTTGTGCTTGGGAGCACTGGCCTTCATCCATTTCAGAATCGGCTTGATGTCCGAATCTTCCTGCTGTGCATGTTGTAAGCTGTCCTTCCACTCGTTGCTGAAGTGGTCCGTCCTGAGCATCTTCACGGAAAACCACTTCCTTACTGTCTTGCCTAGTACAATGTTTGCAATCTTCAGGACAAGGTCTTCTTGACAATGCATCTGCGTTGCCATGAGATTTCCCACTGCGATGTTCGATCTCAAAGTCATATTCCTGCAGTAGTTCAATCCACCTCGCAACTTGTCCTTCTGGATTTTTAAACTGCAATTTTAGTGCAGCATGGTCAGTTCGTAAGTGAAATTTTCGCCCCAGAAGATATTTGCTAAAATGCTGCAATGACTTTACCACAGCTAGCAATTTGCGTCTTGTGACACAATAGTTCCTTTCCGGTTTTGACAATGACTTGCTGAAGTACGATATCACGACCTCTTGGTCACCATTCCGTTGAGACAACACACTGCCAAGTCCCATTTGCGTCTGTATCAACTATAAATTCTTTGCTTTCATCAGGGTATCCCAAAATTTTGGTGTTTTGCACAGACGATCCTTAAGCTCCTTGAATGCGATATTGCAACTTTCATGCCCAGCAGAAATGTCGCTTCTCCTCGGTTAGCTTATGCAGAGGTTTGGCTACATCTGCAAAGTTCTTTACAAATCGCCCATAATAAGAGCACAAACTCAAAAATGCTCCAACCTGCGTCTTGTCTTTTGGAACCGGCCAGTCCTTGACAGCGGCGATTTTCTCCGGATCCGTGCGGATACCTTCTTCCGACACTACATACCCCAAAAAGTTGACTTTCCGTTTGAATAGTGAACATTTCTTCGGACTCAACTTGAGGTTGGCACTCTGAATCTTCATGAGCACGCGTTCCAGGTTTTGAAGGTGTTCCTCAAACTTACGGTCCACGATGATGATGTCATCCAAGTAGACCAGACAGGCATCGACAATTAGCCCGGTAAGTACAAGCTCCATCAGCCTTTCAAACGTCGCTGAAACATTGCACAATGACTATAAATTGCCACAGACCGTTTCCCGTCGAGAACGCGGTTTCCTCCTTGTCCTTAGCTTCAACTTGCCAGTAGCCACTTTTTAGATCCAGCGTGCTATACCACTTTACTCCTGTAAGCATGTCCAGCGTGTGATCAATTCTTGGCAAGGGATAGCTGTCCTTCTTCGTAACGTCGTTCAGACGGCGGTAGTCAACACAAATCCGCATGCTGCCGTCTTTCTTCTTTACCAGCACCACGGGTGAACACCATGGACTAGATGAAGGTTCAATAACACCATCCTTCACCATTCCCTCAATCATGGCTTCCACTTCTTTTTCACGTGGCAATCTTCTTGGTCGCTGGCGGAAAGACAATTCTTCTCCTGTGTTTATTTTGTGTTGAACTAAGCCGGCCTTCTCTATGTCAGCATCGTTTGACGAGAATACATCGGCGTAGTTGAGTAACAACTTCTTCGCCTTGAACATTTCATTCTGGGAGAGAACGCTGCGACAGTCATCTAAAAGTGTGGTCACTCTCGTTTGTGCATCCTTGCTGGGGGTCCTAGTCGATAGATATTGGCACTGACGCAACCAATCCACTTGCTTACAAGTACCAACCAGTGTGCCTTTTTCTATAATCTGTTCCTGGTCACAAAGGTTCAGCACACGTACTCCTGAGATGTTAGTGGTTCTGACCAAGGTTCGAGCCACTTTCCATGGAAGGTCATAATCTAACCTTTCCACGAGTACACAACGATGAGGTTGCCCAGGATTCCGAGGAAGACTAACCGGCACAATCGTTTCCGATCTCGGCAGAAGAACAACCTTCTTAAGGCTGTACACGTTCCCTGGTAACGCCCCTTCCACGAAAAGTTCCTCTTGTCCACATTTCAAAATACCTTGCTTAACGTCAATCTCACAACAATTCTTCCTCATGAAGTCTAGGCCCAGGATGCAGTCGTCCATTATAGCAGCCACGATGATATTATGCAGGTAGCTCATGTTGCCTAGCTTCAACTCCATCTCCTTCTCTCCGCGAACGGGTATACGCTGACCGGTGGCTGTTACCAAATTAATGCGTTCTCGGTTGTATGCGGAGTCCCCAAGGAATTGTCTTATAAGTTGGGAACTAACAACAGTGCGAGAGGCTCCAGTGTCTATGGTCAGTTTACACGCCATTCCGTTGACCTCGCCCTTGACGATTAGAGTGTTCCCATCATGGGTTTGTGAGATCGAGATCCTTGGGGCTCTTATAATATCAGCCAGCACTCGCCCCGCAGTTCTGGCTTTTACTCGTTTCCCTGCTGCTGCTGGGCGGGGCTGTTAGCCGCACCACCCTCCTGATATCGTTCATCTTCCCTTTCTACGGTTCGCTTAGGGCAGCTGGATTGAAGATGGCCCCTTTCCTCACAGCCATAGCACCTGCGGCTGTATCCTTTATTGCGGTCGCGAACTGTAGCTGCCGCAACCTCCCTGACGCGATGGGAGCGAAGATCCTGTCGCACGGCTTCCACCTCCAGTGCATGAGCCAAGGCGTCCTTAAGCGTCTCGTGGTGCCCGAACCTCACAGCAGCTCTGACTTCAAGGTCGCGGATGCCGTCGATGAATGTCTGCACCAGGTTCCCTTCTATGAGCGCAGGTACAGACTGGTATGCTTTTCGAACCATCTTCTCCACCTCAAGGGCCCACTGCTGCAGGTTTTCGTTGCTGCGTTGCATGCGATCTTTAAGCTGCGCGTTAAAGACGTGTTCCAGGTGAGCGTCGCCATATCTGTCCTCAAGGAGCTGCTCATAGGTCACTTCCTTACCAAGAGCTTCCAACACAGTTAAGGCCTGGTCGCGCAGGCCTAGGGACAAGTGCAGTCATGGCCTGGTTTTTATTCCAGCCGTTCGCCTCCATGACAGCCTCGAACTGGATTTTGTAGGCTGACCAGGAAGAAGTCCCGTCGATAGGCGGCACCTTGAACCCACGTAGCGAAGGTGTTGTAGCTACTACGGGAGCTGAAGTTCCATCTCCGAGTTTGAGTTCGTCCAGTGATTTCTTCATGTCAGCCATTACAACCCGATTGTTTACTTGATCGATTCGGGTTTCAGATTCCAACAGGCGGTTGTCATGTTGAGCAACCTTATAATTCACCTCCCGTATCTCTTTTCCGAAGGTAGCGTGAACGTCCTTCATGAGGAGCATCTGCTCTTCCAACCGACGGGCCTGTTCCTCTTGTCGGCGGGCCTGTTCATCCTGTCCGCCCCGCAGCTGCTCTTCCAACCGACGGACCTGTTCCTCCTGTCGGCGAGCCTGTTCCTGCAGCATCGCCATCAGAGCACCTAAGTCGGGTGCTACAGATGTAGGAGCTACTGACGGGCTTGCAGCCTGTTGCTGGCCCTCCGACGTCTGCAGCGTTGCACCACCAAATTTCTTTGGTCTG